GGCAGAATAAACATAAATGAGAATGGACCAGTACTTATGGACCACATTTATGTTTCCAAGAGACATTACCGGCTGTCGTCATTGAAACAATGGAGGATGATGTGTACAGATCACCGAGGGCGGGGTCTATGCCACAGCCACACTGTCAATCAAACCCCTTTCTCACTTTCTACGTCACAAAGAGCTGAATCTAGAACAGCTCGTTCTGAGGCAGTGCATATGATTTATTGAGATTGTAAAAAAACCACTGGGTGGATTTTTATCATTCTAGGGTGGTTTTGCTCACACACTGCCAACACATTTATGTTCAAACACCATATAAAAGTGAATTTTCCATAATAGGTGCCCTTTAAACGAGGCTGAACGACAGTACTTGTGGATCTGGCCCAGCCTAAGAGATGGATAAGAGTTTAACTAAACTATATAGAGTGAACATGCTTTATTGGAAACCTCTGGGTGAACTGACAGAATAACCCTCTGCAGTACATGGATGCTCTCTCTCTCTCTCTCTCTCTCTCTCTGTGTCTCTCTCTCTCTGTGTCTTGATTGATTGAATGTGGCGTGTGTTTTGTCCTCGGGCGTTAAACTCCGTCCTCCATCTCGTCTCGTGTGTCTGAGTCACTGCGCTCCCCGCCGTACAACTATAATAATCATCTGTTTTCAGCTGAAAGCAGAGATGCAGCAGGAGGAGGAAGAGGAGGAGGAGGAGGAGACGCACACACAGAGAGAGAGAGAGAGAGAGAGAGACACTAACACACACCTGTCGGAGCCCCTGCGTTCAGCATGTTCAGCATGATCAGAAACTGGCTGTTCGGAGCCACTGAAGAGAGCGAGTATAAACTCCTCAGCACTGAGAGCAAGGTAACACACACACACACACACACACACACACACACACTATACTGTAATTACACTCATGTCTGAATAATAGTTAATATCCTCACATCACTTTCTGCAGCTTTACAAACTGAACATGTGTGTGTGTGTGTGTGTGTGAGAGAGAGTGTGTTTAATAAGTTTCCTTGTGTTCCCCAGATGCTGGTCAATATAATATCCTTGTGATATTCTAATATTATATCCATGAACTAATGATAATAATCATGTATTGAAATCATTGTGTTGTTTGGTAATAATACATTTTAAACTATTTTATTGTAAACATGATTGTGTGTGGACGGGAAGGAGACGTTTACATGTTTAATGTGATCGTTTACACGCGTGTGCTCGTGTCACATCATGACGAATCTCAGAGCTGAAATGTCACACAGTCATGAGATCCGAGTCCTTAAAATGCTTTTAATTACAGCTGACGCACACACACACACACACACACACACACACACACACAGGGCTGAGTGCGAGACCTGCGACACACGGTCAAATATGAATAATTAAACACACATCAGCTAATATTAGCTAAGCAGCATTAATTACAGTCCAACTGACACCCAGACAGACCATAATTACAGCGTCACTGTTGCTATGGATTCCATATTATGGGCTGTTTCCGTGTGCGTGATTGTAGTGTGTGTGTGTGTGTGTGTGTGGCTGAAGGCATTTCTTGTGCTGGAACTGAACACATGAAAACTGACTCACCGCTCACAGTCTGTCTGTGTCTCTCGCTCTCGCTCTCTCTCTCTCTCTCTCTCTGTCTGTGTGCGTGTCTATCTGTCTGTCTCTCTCTGGCTGTGTGTGTGTGTGTCTCTCTCTCTGTCTGTCTCTCTCTCTCTCTCTGTCTGTCTCTCTCTCTCTCTCTCTCTCTCTCTCTCTGTCTGTCTCTCTATCTGTCCATCATCAGGATGGTGTGAGTTACGAGGTGCGCCGCTACGACGCGTGCAAGTACGTGTGCTTGAGTCTGGAGGGGCGGAGCCTGGATCAGGTGTCAGGTGAGCTGCAGCGGAGGCTCCTCGCCTACATGAGCGGCGGCAACGCACAAGGTGAGCCAATCAGAGCCCTGCAAACAGACGCTCAGCCAATGGAGCGTCAGCATTCTGTGGAAGCTTGTTTCCGTCACAGATTTTTTTCAATTAAAAAGGTAATTGCGACTTTCTATCTCAAAATTCCTGGCCGGCCCGAGGGATGGCGAGGAGATGCAGGTCGTACCGTGTTGCGTTCTGAAACTCTGATTAATGATTGGAGAGGGCGTTAAATAAGAGCATTGTGTTCAACACTTATCTACCAACCCCGAGAGAAAATGAAATTGAAAATGTGATGTGTATATGCTAATGGGCCCAGAGGAGTGTGTGTCGTGCTGTTGGAGTTTCTACAGGTGTGTTTCTACCTCTGTGGCGCAGGTGAGGTCATGAACACGCCGGTCCCCGTCATCTTCACCGTCTTCCCTCGTGAGGACGGCTCGTTGAACCGCCGCCTGGTGGCCGCTCTGCGTATCCCATCCAGCTTCCAGACCAGCCCGCCAACCCCGACGGACACGACCCTGCGGATGGAGGACCGGCCCGGGATGACCGTATACGTCCTGTGCGCACACACACACACACCAGGGTCGCGAGACCGTTTTCACGCAGCGACGCTACAGCTAAAGGCCGTTCACACCAATAACGATAACGATATAGTTCTAAAATCGTTCTACATATTAAAGAATAGCAGAGTTCACACCACAGCTATACCGATGAGGAACGATATCGTTGGGATCACTTTCAGAACGATGTTTTTCCAGCTATTGAACGATAAAACACTTCCTTTGAAGTTGCAAAGGCGTCGTATATATAAAAAATATATATAAAGGTGTTGACGAGGCTTTGTTTTTATTCCACTTTAAATGCACCGTTAGATTAGATCGATTACACTAGCTAGATTCGCGGTTTAGATGCGCTCGAAACGTTGCATGCTAAGGACATCTGCTGGTAGAAGACGTGTAAATGCAACAGACTGATATTGATTCATTCGAAAGTAAGTCTTCAAAATCAGTTATGATATACAGTAGTTTTAGATAATATACTTGTTATATTATAGTGTGATCGCGAATATAGTTATCTCTATAGTTATCGTTCTTGGTGTGAACGTCAATATAGTTACTACCATTATAGTTATCGTTATAGTTATCGTTCCTGGTGTGAACGTGAATATAGTTACTATCATTATATAGTTATCGTTATAGTTATCGTTATAGTTATCGTTCTTGGTGTGAACGTGAATATAGTTATCGTTATAGTTATCGTCCGCTGGTGTGGACACTATTATAGTTATCGTTATAGTTATCGTCCGCTGGTGTGAACACTAATATAGTTATCGTTATAGTTATCGTCCGCTGTGTGGACACTAATATAGTTATCGTTATAGTTATCGTCCGCTGGTGTGGACGCTAATATAGTTATCGTTATAGTTATCGTCCGCTGGTGTGAACACTAATATAGTTATCGTTATATCTATCGTCCGCTGGTGTGAACACTAATATAGTTATCGTTATAGTTATCGTCCGCTGGTGTGAACACTAATATAGTTATCGTTATAGTTATCGTCCGCTGGTGTGAACACTAATATAGTTATCGTTATAGATATCGTCCGCTGGTGTGAACACTAATATAGTTATCGTTATAGTTATCGTCCGCTGGTGTGAACACTAATATAGTTATCGTTATAGATATCGCCCGCTGGTGTGAACACTAATATAGTTATCGTTATAGATATCGTCCGCTGGTGTGAACACTAATATAGTTATCGTTATAGTTATCGTCCGCTGGTGTGAACACTAATATAGTTATTGTTATAGATATCGTCCGCTGGTGTGAACGCTACTATAGTTATCGTTATAGTTATCGTTATAGTTATCGTCCGCTGGTGTGAACACTAATATAGTTATCGTTATAGTTATCGTCCGCTGGTGTGGACGCTAATATAGTTATCGTTATAGTTATCGTCCGCTAGTGTGAACACTAATATAGTTATCGTTATAGTTATCGTCCGCTGGTGTGAACACTAATATAGTTATCGTTATAGTTATCGTCCGCTGGTGTGAACACTAATATAGTTATCGTTATAGTTATCGTCCGCTGGTGTGAACACTAATATAGTTATCATTATAGCTATCGTTCTTGGTGTGAACGTGAATATAGTTATCGTTATAGATATCGTTCTTGGTGTGAACGTGAATATAGTTATTATCATTATAGTTATCATTATAGCTATCGTTCTTGGTGTGAACGTGAATATAGTTATCGTTATAGTTATTGTTCTTGGTGTGAACGTGAATATAGTTATCATTATAGTTATCGTTCTTGGTGTGAACGTGAATATAGTTATTGTTATAGTTATCGTTCTTGGTGTGAACGTGAATATAGTTATCATTATAGTTATCGTTCTTGGTGTGAACGTGAATATAGTTATTGTTATAGTTATCGTTCTTGGTGTGAACGTGAATATAGTTATTGTTATAGTTATCGTTCTTGGTGTGAACGTGAATATAGTTATCATTATAGTTATCGTTCTTGGTGTGAACGTGAATATAGTTATTGTTATAGTTATCGTTCTTGGTGTGAACGTGAATATAGTTATTGTTATAGTTATTGTTCCTGGTGTGAATGTCAATATAGTTATAATTATAGTTATTGTTATAGTTATCGTTCTTGGTGTGAACGTGAATATAGTTATTGTTATAGTTATCGTTCTTGGTGTGAACGTGAATATAGTTATTGTTATAGTTATCGTTCTGGTGTGAACGTGAATATAGTTATTGTTATAGTTATCGTTCTTGGTGTGAACGTGAATATAGTTATTGTTATAGTTATCGTTCTTGGTGTGAACGTGAATATAGTTATCGTTATAGTTATCGTTCTTGGTGTGAACGTGAATATAGTTATCGTTATAGTTCCTGGTGTGAATGTCAATATAGTTATAATTATAGTTATTGTTATAGTTATCGTTCCTGGTGTGAATGTCAATATAGTTATAATTATAGTTATTGTTATAGTTATCGTTCTTGGTGTGAACGTGAATATAGTTATTGTTATAGTTATCGTTCTTGGTGTGAACGTGAATATAGTTATCGTTATAGTTATTGTTCCTGGTGTGAATGTCAATATAGTTATAATTATAGTTATTGTTATAGTTATCGTTCCTGGTGTGAATGTCAATATAGTTATAATTATAGTTATTGTTATAGTTATCGTTCTTGGTGTGAACGTGAATATAGTTATTGTTATAGTTATCGTTCTTGGTGTGAACGTGAATATAGTTATTGTTATAGTTATCGTTCTTGGTAGTGAACGTGAATATAGTTATCGTTATAGTTATTGTTCCTGGTGTGAATGTCAATATAGTTATAATTATAGTTATTGTTATAGTTATCGTTCTTGGTGTGAACGTGAATATAGTTATTGTTATAGTTATCGTTCTTGGTGTGAATGTGAATATAGTTATCATTATAGTTATCGTTCCTGGTGTGAACGTGAATATAGTTATTGTTATAGTTAGGCCATCCTTAAAAATATTTTGGTTTGAAGTAACAGCAATTTTTTTTTTAAAAAGGGTCGGTAGGTAGGTCTATTTTTTTTTTTTTCCAGGATTCAGTGTAAAAAAAAAAGTAATTTTTTTTTACTTTTTTAAAAAAAAAATTTTTTTTTTTTTAATTGCATACTGTGACGTCACTGACTGGGTCTTCAAACTGTGCATCCACCACTAGGTGTTATTGCAACCTACAACCGGTTACGTTTTTAGGCCAGTCACAAAATGAATAAATATCTACTGTATTTGTTATGCAGCAGTGTGCAGGCTTTTTTTTCCCCAAATACATGAGATATAAGCAAAAACAAGTACAAACACATGGTGAAACAAAGAATACAATTAAACAAAGATACAAATTAGCCTATATACACAGTGCTTTAATTTCAGAAAGGTCTAAAATTAGCTACTTTTCAGTTAAGTGTGTTGCGCTGTCTGACAAGAAATTTAATTTAGTAAATCAAATGTAAAATGACACTGCATGGTTTATCATAGTTAGATTAATGCTTATTAAAGTTTAAGTTAATAATTCAAGAGCTGCGAGTGATTTTTCTCTGCCTTTTGTTGTGTTTGATTCCCATTACTGGCTCAATCGTCACATGTTTATTAGACTACTGCCCCTTTAAGACCGAGTGCGGATCTAACAGGTGACTGATGCACCACCATATCCTCCCAACTATTCACATCCATTTAAGACATAAACTGTGTTTAAATGAATCTCAGAGCAGGTCATTTTAGATTTTATGTAACGTTATATTTGATAGTTTAGCTGCGCACATGAAGCCCAAAATGAGGCTATAGCCTACTTTTCTTGTCCCGTTGCAGTGTATTTCGGAGCACGCATCACCTTGTGAACAGCGTCTCTTGCGCAGACTTTTGTGCTTTTAATAGCTCTTTTAATGATTGAACCCGTACGCAGTTTAGCAACAGTACAGACTGCATTTTACAACAATTACCGATCGTGCTGATTCTGACGGTACGTTTGGGTTTTAGGAAGAAATGACAGCGCAACGCTGTGAAGGGAAGGAAGCAGTCACTCATTAAGCAGGGCTGTCGTGTTGTTCGCGCTGTGGCTCCGGGTGAGAGATCGCTCTCTCTCTTCTGGACTGGGAATAGCAAAATTGCATCAGACAAATTGTTTAATATTATTATTATATATAGAAATGGTTGATATTCAGCCCATTTAATACCGGGTTTACCAAGCGGGAACACTGAATGAAACGAAGCGAACGTATAAGCCTTATAGACAGTGTGACACGGGTAAACCAATCGTGTAAACATAATCAGATGACTATGACGCCACGGGTTTTTATTTAAAAGAAAGAACATAGCCTACGTTTGTAGACATAAGCAACTTTCACAATACTAACTAAAATATCATTTTATGGAATTTGAATTAGTCGTTTGAAGAGTAAAAAAAAAAAAAAAAATCGGTCGGTCTGAACGCAAGTTACAACCGGCAAGTCGGTCGGACTAAAAGGGAAAAAAAAATAAAAAATTGGGTCGGCCCTAAATTGACAGGGTCGGTCGGGTTACGGCAAACAAGAATATTTTTAAGGGTGGCCTTATCGTTCTTGGTGTGAACGTGAATATAGTTATCGTTATAGTTATTGTTCCTGGTGTGAATGTCAATATAGTTATAATTATAGTTATCGTTATAGTTATCGTTCCTGCTGTACACGGGCCTTAACCGCACCTCTGTCTCCCCCTATAGGCAGTTCGGGGGGTTCGCAGGAGAGAGCGAGTTCCGCGCAGAGGCGTCGCGTCTGACGGTCACGCTGGGAGACTCCGCCCCCTTCCAGCGCAAGCAGTACCTGTGCTGCATCTACGACCCGCCAATCAAACCCTACGGGCGGAGGAACGAGGTCTGGTTCCTGCAGGACGAGCCCTGAGGAACTCTTCATCTCCACAGCGCTCTATACAGTGCAGATCGTCTCAGTAATAAACAGAATCAATGATGCAATCAAATATGAGATAATTCTGTTGTTAAGCAGCTCTACAGAAGACAATATTGTTGTTATTCAGTTCCATGTTGATTCAGTTCAGTTCTATAAAACTATGTCGTGATGCAAAGTTCATCAATTCAGTTTCAGCACTTTGACTCAGTTGATTCAGTTCAGTGACTACTTGGTCTTTGTTATATTATGTATTATTTTAATATTTGTCCATCGATCTATCTGTCTATCTGTCCTACTCTCTGTCTATAAACCATCAAACTTCAAGGCTTTTTTAACTTTTTTAACTTTTTTAACCAAAACACACCCACCCACACACACAGATTGGACTCCCACTGAATGTCTAAGTTTACATCAGCTGAATCTCAACACACACACTCACTGCTACTCTGACTTGAGGCACTTAAATAACAACTTAAATTGAAAAAAACTATACAGACATTAAACACATGTTATAACCGATATTAAACACCACTGGTTCAGTATGATGACGTCACTTACATGATCAGCGGCACTATGGACAGACTTTATCTTACAACCACTGACGAGTTCAGTGGCGGATCTAGAAAATTTTACATGGGGTGGCAAGAGGTCTTGGCAGGGTGGCAGGGGTAGACGGTTCACAAGATGTAAACAACACGGGTCCAGAAGCACTTCCTGTTTCAGCTTTTTAACACATCAAAGCACCAACAGAACATTTAAAACTGAATCAAAAAGTTAAACAAACATCTTTAAGATGTTTTCTTTACATGTGAAATAAAGAAAACAGTTACAAACTGAAACTTTCTGGACCAGTGTTGTTTACATCTAGCAAAATGGTCTATATGTGAAATCTCTGGTTATCCTTTTACATTACACTTTAGGGCCATGAAGCCACTAACAAATTATAAAATCAGAATTAGGCCCTCAAAAATACGATTCATCTTGGAAAATAATAATAATAATAATAATAAACAGAGCAATTCCAAGAGGGTCCTCTCACCATCGGTGCTCGGGCCCTAAAGATTTTTCACATGCACACACCACCAGTTATGTTTAGACTACTTAATCCTATTGTATTTGTTATTTCCCCAGTTATAACCTGGTTTCATTGAGTGATATCTGAGAGGAATTGGATTTATAGAACATAGCTCAGGGGTCAGGTACCTTTTTTGATCAAAGAGCCATTATTTAAATTTTTATTTATGGTTAATGCATTTTTCCAAAAGAGCCTCAGTAAAATAAATATATAATAACATTATTAAAGACATGTTTTTTTAAATGAAATTTCAACAGTATTAGGCTAATTATTAGGTCCATAGACAACTAAAAACAAATATTTAGCAAACAAAGTTTCATTAATTGTAAGGGCTTTCACGGTGAGGTGAGTTATCAACTTATCAACAGTACTTACAGTTTCAGAGTAGCTACTTACATCTACTGTGTTTACATGAATACTCGACTTTTTGATATGTATTCATTTGGCAATTGAAAAGCGAATCAAATGATCGATCTCCTAACTGGCGATGTGTGTTGTAACGTAACGGCGGCGTAATGCCGACCATCAGTAAACGTGATGGATACAAACAATATTTAATATATTTTATTAAGTTGTTCTTGTCTTTACTCAAATCGAAATTAGATAATCAAAGGGAAGAGTGTTCTTAAAGATCACGAGGGAGCGATTTGACCAATGATTTTGGCTAACGTAAGACTCGCTGTTTTTGCTGATGCTGAATCGTCTTTAGCATACAATACATTCATTACAAATCTAAGTTAAACGCGTGTTTAAACTACACCTGGGCAAACTCACTTCACCTTCAGAGACTCTGGGGCAGCTGTAGTCTCTCCAGTCGGGTTGCAGGGCCACTCCACCGCCCCACAGCAGTGTGTGTGTGTGTGTGTGTGTGCGAACGCCGCTCTGCTGCACGTTGAATCAGGGGGAGGGGCTAATAATAATATATTAAAAATTAAAAATTAAATTGTTCACTTTTGGTAAATGTATTTATTTCACTATTTTGAGAAGCGTATGTATGGAATGACAGGTAAGTAATTTTTTTAAAGCTTTTGCTGACAATTTACTCACCCCCATGTCATCCAAGATATCCATGTCTTTCTTTCTTCAGTCAAAAAGCTCAAATGCTCAAATACTCCTTTAACTGTTATGATGCATCACTTGAAAAAAAAGTTGAGTCTCTGATCCAAAACCCACGATAGATGGCGCTAATTTCAGCCGCCAATAAAGAAGAAGAAGAAGAAGTGTCGAGTCTTCTGAGGCGAGGAGAGCAGTTCACGGTATTATTCATCTTTACACAACCATCACACACACTTTATACAGTTTGATTAAGCGACAGACTAGTTTCAGTGTTGTTTTCATCGATCACAGCGATACTTGTGCGTCTTTTCTGGCGTCTTCCTCCTGAAATACACATTTAGTGCAGCAGCAGCGAGCCTGAGGAGAATATGTGGAGTTCATTCAGACCTTGAGCGAGTGTGTGTGTGCGTGCGTGTGTGTGTGTTTATGTTAATGTTAACAAAATCATAAGTTTATGTTAACAAATCAAATGTTTATATAGCCTACTGCAACAGATTGATACGCTAAAAACTTCACATTGAGTTTATAATGAGTTTTTAGGATAATTGTCCGTTAAATAACATTAGTGCAATAGTTACTACAAAATCAAAATATATTTTAGATATTGACATTATGCTGCTAGGTAGATGAGGTAGTTAATTAAGATGAATATCTTTAGTGTTTTTATTTTATTTCCTTGTCATGTTGGAAGCAACGGTATTTTTTTAGCAACGCTTTATTTTATCTTTAACAAATCCATTGTGTTTTTACTTCATTGTTAAAATAAGTTGGAACAGATACTTCACATTGAGCTGCTTCTCACAGCATGACAAGGATAAAACACACACACACACACATACACACATAATATCATTCATCTTAATTAACCACCTTATCTAAATAACTACAGCAGCATAATGTCAATCTCTAAAATATATTTAGATTTTGTAGTAACTACCCTGCAAACAAGCCTGCACTGGCCCTGTCCGGGCCCACTTAGGGCTAGCCTAAGGGCCCCCTGCAGGCTGCTAGCGCAGGGCCCATGAGAATTTGCTCATTGGCAAAACGTTGGGCCTGCATGGGCAGCCCTCACTTAGCCCTCACTAAACCCACACAGGGCCCGCACACTGGGCCCACAAAACGTTGGCCCTGCATGGGCAGCCCTCACTTAGCCCCAAGGAATCCCTCACTAAGCCCACACAGGGCCCGCACCGCACACACAGGGCATCTACAACAATAGATATAGTTCACAATTAATCTGTTTCACTATAAATACTTTTTGGCTAATATAACTATAAGTCTTTGGGAAAAACAATTATTCTATACATCTGAATGCAGTCACCACATAACTAATTTCTGTATTTTCACAAATGTACAGAAGTCAAAGGGATTTCAAATCAATGCATTTATTAATTACAAAACATAAAACATTAAATTCAGGTTATTATATATAATATAATTACACTATTATTCACATAAAAAACAGAAACATAGAAAACAGCTGTTTTACATTATGATAAAATTTCACAATATTAAAAGTTTTTTTTTTTAAATAAATGCAAATAAATGCAAGCTTGATAAGCAGAATAGACTTCTTCCAAAATGTTTCCAAATTTTTTACCTGTATACTGTATATGATTTTATACAAAATAAATAGTAGTTAATAAGATTGACACTGTATTATATCTAGTAATATTGAAGCTAAACAGAGTCCCTATAACAGTGCAATTTGTAGATTTTTAGTCTTCGAGAAAATGTTTTATGAGTTGCAAACCTCTTTTTCTTTGCTTTCTCTCTCTCACAAACACAACACATCAGTTACACAAAACATCAGTTAAATTCTTCATTGCAGGTGCACAAATCCTATTCTAAAAATTACCAAACTCATAGGGTCATATTTTTGTTGATAAACAGTAACATTTTGGCCAATTATGCACATTTCTTGGTGTATAATTTTGTGAATCATCTATACTGTTTGGCTATTCTCATGTGGTCACACTTCACTTTTCATTCACAGTCACATATGCTCAAACCCCGTGTGGCCGTGCCTTAAATGTCAGCATACATTTCTTACAGGGCTGTGCAAAAGTTAATTGCGATTAATTGCATTCAAAATAAAAGTCTGTGTTTACATAATATATTTGTGTGTGCTGTATATAATTATTTTGTATTAGGGCTGTGAAACGATTAATCGCGATTAATCACATCCAAAATAAAAGTTTGTGTTCACATAAATTATATACGTTTGTGTAGTGTGTATAATTATTTTGTATATATAAATACACACACATGCATGTATATATTTAAGAAATATTTGCATGTTTGTACTGTATATATGTTTATACAAAATTAATATTATACATAAATACAAATCTTTGATATATCAATAACACATTTTTCTTAAATATATACATGCATATGTGTGTATTTATATATACAAAATAATTATACAGACATATATCATGTAAACACAAACTTTTATTTTTGATGCAATTAATCGTTACACAGCCCTATATTGTATATATAAATACACACACATGCATGTATATATTTAAGAAAATGTGTTATTCATATATAAAATATTTATATTTATATAATATAGATTATGTATTCATATATATATATATACACAGAATTTAAGTGCAAATAATTCTTAAATATATACATGCATGCATAGGTATTTATATATACAAAATAATTATATACAGCACACACAAATATATTATGTAAACACAGACTTTTATTTTGGATGCGATTAATTGCAATTAATTTTTGCACAGCCCTTTTTGTGATTTGAAAAAAAGAAAATTATTTGTACACCTCCAATGAAGAATTTGAAAAGCTGTAACTGCAGTGTTTTTTGTGAAAGAGAAAAAAGTTTGAAACTTAAAAAAAAAAAAACGTTCTCTCTGTGACTACTTTACACCTGACTACTTTTAACTGACTACGTTACACCTACAGATTCCACTGTCACAGGTGCTCTGCTTTGCTATAATGAAACCTTTACAGAACATGATAGTAATCCGCCATCCATGTAAAAGCAGAGGTCGGTGTGGTGTACAGGTACATCTGTCCAGCCAACATCTCACGCCTTGATGCCTTCCACTGTGGATCCCAGAAAACCTGCAAAAAAAAAAAAAAAAAAATACAGTTCAAAATCTATCATACATAATCATACATCTGGTATCACAAATTATTCCAGGTTATTATAACA